AGAAATTTGACAGGATAGATATCCCTGCAGTGCAGTAAGCATTTTTTGAGGGTCTGTGAGTGGGAAACTCTGTGCTGGGTGCAGTTGCTGTGACAGTTAGTAAGGGGGCAGTACCTAGCTTGCATGACTCACTGCCTGGAGACAACACAGAAAGCAAAACAATGGTTCTACAGACAGAGGTGGGAGGGGAGAAAGAAGCAAAGGCTGTCCAAATGCATCATGTTGTGCTGGAGGGTACTTTTGCCCCAGGCATTCTTTCCTAACTACCAGATCACAAGTAATATTAGTTCTTTTCAACCTGAGCTAAGAAACTCTTTCAAAACTGTAAAGACAAAGGTGTAATTTTTAATCGATTTAAGAGTAGCCTTTTTGTCCCCCACTTGTGTACCATGTTTATCTAAGGTGATACTGGAAAATATACGTCCCATGAAGAAGACCATTGCTGAAATTGTGTCCTACCAAGTGGAGCTGAGGTTACCCCAGACAGGAATGGAGCCTCTGCCTGTGTTTCAGCGGACAAATCGGCTTTTACAAGATACAAAGCTGTTGGAAAACATGACTCAGGAACAAAATGAGTTGTTAAAGGTGAGTGGCTTGTAATGACAGCCAGCCCGTTGGATGAAAATGTTCAGCAAAAGCTGGTTTTGTTTTCAGTTTTAAAGTTTGGGTAGATCAAATTCCCATGACAGTAAGACACTGCCTGTGTTGATTCTTTCTGGTCTCTTCCAGTATTATATCCAGGAGCCAGCACTGATATAAGAGAGTATTTTATTGCTCAAATGGAGCTAACATGATTTTTTCTTAGCTCTTACCTTTGTTCTGGTTGAAGACATTGAAGCATAGTTATGGTCTGTTTCATTCCATTCTTTAATAATTGAAGATCTACATAGGTAAAATGCTATGGGAAAAGATTCGACCTACATAGTTCATTTGCAGTGACATGAGGCCGACAGACCCAACAATAATCTCTTTATACATCTCAGTTGCTTTCCTTTTAATCATTTCATTTTATTACCAACATGATGCAAGTCAAGTAGGCACTTTGCCATTTTATTTTTACACATTAGGAGACTAGTGTCCAAAGGTTAGGTGATTTGATAAAATACCAGAGTTAACATTTGTTAGGATTAATTTACGTATGAATAAGACAAAAATTTGGGTTTCTAGCCTCCTAGTATTATTCTTCATATTAGAGTCTCTTCTTTCTAACTGATGGCATCTTGTAGCCTCTCCCTGAGGGCTTTCTTTTTATTCTTACATTTTGGTTGGTCTCAAGCCAAAGAATAGATAGAAATTGCATTTTACTTTGGTTTGTGTTCCTAAATCAACAACCACTCCTATAGAAAAAGAAAGTTCTTGAAAGAGCCATGGACTTTTCAGCCCTCTTGGTAGACTCCCACATTCTGCCTACTGTTCTTGATTAGGGGGTCAGAGTAGGAGAAAAAGTTATTTTTCCTCCTTCCCACTCATCCCCTGGTTATAGGAAGAAAACTGCTGTCTCTTTCTCCCTCTTCAGTTTCATTCACATTTGGTGGTCACTCTGTTCTCCTAAGACTTGAGGATATTGTATCTCTGGCTTGAGTCTTAGCTCAGTCTCTCTGGCCTAGCTACTGATATGCTGACGTTATTTCCTAACACCCACAGGGAGGAAAAAGATCTGGCACTCAATGTACTATTTTTTTTTTTAATAATATAAAGAGAAAACAAAAAGCAACGATAGGAAGTTTGATCTATTTTTCATCTTTTTGTGTTTTACTGGTCTCTTGGTTAGAAAAAGAAAATAACAGTCCTGACTATGCTTTAAAATGACTCCTTCACAAGATGAAAGGGGAGAAATAGAAGAGGAAATTAGGTTTTGTACCAAGTTAGATATCAAGCTGTGCTGTTAAAATTTTCCATCTTATTGTGTTAGTGGAAATCAGATATCATCTCAGGTATTTCAAAGCTAAGTAAGCTGATAGTAATGAAAATCATAGAAAATGGTGCATTTCTTTTAATTTCTAGTTAGATATTGTAAGTGCTCTCATTGTAGAAAATAAGACAAATTACTTTTGGGGGGAGTAATGGGATGTAGCTCATTACTGAGGGCTGGGGAACAGGTGTGTGCAGTGAGCATAGTTATTCATTTCCAGCCTGTGGCTAAAATTATAGTTAAATATTAAAATATAAGGAAGAATTCTGTGTTGACAAGAAACTTTGTAGTTTCAAAAGACATTTAGTTTCATTGTGAAGCATACCAAGGAAACATCCAGATTTTCTTTTGAGGTCCATTTCTTTGACTTTCATCACACTTTGATTGTATCATTTAGCACACTGGTAGGTTCAAGCTCTTAACACCAGATTCCAGATATTGTTTTGGTCTGCCTTATTCTTCAAACTCTCAAGCCTCAACCTCTTACCATAAAACATTCATCACAGATCCCAAGGAGTAGCAGGTGAGGATATGTCTGTACCAGGAAAATCTATCATTTCTCAAATCACTCGCCCTTTCCACTCTCAGTTAGGATTGTCACCTCTGTGTAGAAATGTGACAAGGAATATGTATTAAATGTCTTATGTGACTGACTATCAGTAATTTCATAAAACTTAGCCACTTTGTTTACATGCTATAAAATGCTTCCCAGAATAAGCCCATTAGACTGGGAAAACTTAAGAGCAAATGTATGTCTAATTCAACTCCCAGCACTGCCCAAGGTGCTCTGGCGTCTAGTAGAGCAAGTCGGTCAGGTTCCAGCTTTGCACATATTGTTCTCTATATTGAGTCTACTATTCCATATTAAAAACTGTATAGTTATGTGTTTGATAGAATTAATTGGAGTTTGGAACAGGGATAGACATCGAAAGGAACCCATTGGTCTAGTCATTGGATTGTAACAGATTCTTCTTGGGGGGTTTATTTTATAGATAGTCATAAAACAAACAAATGAATGCAATGAAGAAATAGAAAAATTGAAGCAGATCTTAAATAATTATACAGCTGAATTCTCCCATGAACATATGTCAACAGACCAAGCTGCCAACCTGTCACAAGTACAGGTATGTTTCTTTCATTTCATTTGTCTCATTCATTTGTCCAGCAGTTCATTCACTTTCTAAGCTGTTGGTATCTAGAAACCTTTTTGATGATGTGGTGTATTTCCTACTTCTCTCTTTCAATTGAAGGTATTTTATGTATATGATTACTTTCTATGCCTATTTCATTAAATAGGTTATTATATAATTATCATAATGGAAGTCTCTTCAAGTGTCTTTAGCCTCAACTTGGTGCAATTTGGCTGATACCAAAGAAGGTGATGTAACACATGGTGTTTGGACAACCTGACTTCCCAGCTAGCGTTCTGACATAGGGGTCATGCAGGCTGGGCTTTAGAGGGAAAGACTGAATGCTGTTGTAATAAAGAGTTCCCTATACTAAGCAGTCTCACCATATGCCACAATTAACAATGTCCTGCGGGCCCAGTTACAATGGTTTGCATGTTAACTCTATTGCCATCAGGTTGGTGTAGGCAAGCAGTTGCTGTGGAATTCAAAACCAGCTTGCACCACTTTCTTTCTTTAAGTCACAGGGCAAATTCTTTAACATCTAAAGTGAAGTACAGGGAAGTCTAAGATGACACAAGCTATTAAGTGGTGGACTCAATAAGGCAGACTCAATGTGTTAGTGATTCAATATTATGAAAGTGTCAAATTTCCCTTTACATTAAAAAATTCAAAACTCCAAAGAGCTTTTGTGTATATTAAAGTTCAGAAATGTAAATATATCTGTTATTTTTAAATAGTGATAGTAAACCCATTAAATATTAATGGAAATTATATTTTACAGGAAAAAAATACAGTGAGAAGAGTAACACTGTTTTGCATTTTTGCAAATCTCATGAGGATCTGGCTTTCTAGGAGACAGCCAGATTCTCACCTGGTTCTGCATTCAGTCTTTTGAGGTATATAGTTTTGTGTGAAGCATATAAAGATGATCAACCTCTCAAAGACACACACATGGAAGAGAAATATTTTTAAAATGCTTTTGAATAATTTTGGACATCCTTTGAAATGCCACTAAACTCTGACAAGTAGAATTACTTACAGGTTCATTGTTAAATGGAATTTGGAGCCATGTCAGTGAAATTTCATACTCTTACATTAAAATCCATCAGTCTGTCTTATACTTGCAATGGATCTCCAACCATGCATGATTTTATAACATAATGCTTGATCATTTGGAAAACACATATTTGACTTGTTATTTCGATCCTCCAAATGAGGACACATCTCAGTAGCCAATATTAAAGAATTCACATTTATTAACATCTACAAATGTTACCTCTTCAGAAAAATCTTTATATGTATTACATATATATGTTTGTATAGTTTAACAACTGTCTTTTTTTCAAGTAAAAATAGTATTCTTTGAAAAAAAAAATGGATAGGTCAGCTTAAAACTTAAATCACATGAGTGCTTTTCCTCAACCATTAAACTTTGGTATACAACAGAATGCTTTATGCAGGCTTCCCCCTTTGTCAAACAGAATATTAAAAATATATGCTCTTTATCAAGGACATTCTTAACTGAAGTTGGCTTTTTTTACAGTTAAATTCATGATACTAAATACTAAATTTAGTATGATGCTAAATTACTAGATGTGAAGCGTCTAGTAATGCTAATACAGTTGATGTTTCTGCCTTGGTTCCTACCGGGTGTCAGTAGTTTTACCCACCTTTGCTTTTACTACATCACACAGTGAAAAATGTCCACACAGTGAGAAAGGCCAGTAACATTTTGGTATTGTTATGAAACTGATCTTGACCTCATGGAGTGCAGACCTCCTGGGGTTTGCAGATGCCACTTTGAGAGTGGCGGCTTCGAGCCCTTCTCTGCCTCCACAATGCTAGTGGCTCTGGAGACTGGTCTGTTTCTCTCAGTGCTGTTCTACTGGCTATAGTGTTATGTCTGTTGGGAGGCACTGTACCTCTGAAGTTTAGTGCTTATTGAAAAGGGACACACACCACAGCTAACTCAGATTTAATTAAGTTATCATTTCCCAAAGCAATCACAAGAAGTTTCACTTCAGACAGAATAGGGGTATGGTGTCAGAATGTGTGCGGTAGCATTAGAGTCATGGGGCTGGGTGTCAGAAGTCCAGGTCTGTGCGCTGTCGCTGGCTGCAGCTCTGAAAGAATTACCTTCTTTCTCTGGACTTCAGAACTTTCACTCATAGGCGGAGTTTCTCTGTCTCTGGGGAAAAAAAAATGATGATTCTATCAATGTCTCTAAGATCAATGGATAGAAAAAGAAATAAGGGAAAAAGGAATGAATGAACACAAGGTTTAAAGAATATGTTAGGGACAAAATTTCAGTACATGAAGTTCTGCTAAAAAGGAGCAGGTTTGTCTTCTGATACAGCTCAGGCTTTGAATGATGCCTTTCAGAGTGCTGGAGAAGAGGATGTCAAACAAGACAACGCCTGACATTTCCTCTAAATCCAGGGTTCTATGACTCTGTAATCCTCTTAGACAGACAGTGGGCATCTGCACCTCTACTGCCCATGTATGAAATTTTATTCCCACGAGAAGGGGACGACACAGGATGAGATGGCTGGATGGCATCACCGACTCGATGGGCATGAGTTTGAGTAAACTCCAGGAGCTGGTGATGGACAGGGAGGCCTGGCGTGCTGCGATTCATGGGGTTTCAAAGAGTCAGACACGACTGAGCGACTGAACTGAACTGAACTGATCAGTCACACAAATTTTTTAACCTTATAAAGCTTGGAATCATCTCTTCATCATTCCCATAACAAATTACACTTCACAGCACCTTTATTTGTTTATTTATTCCCATATGGTAGGAAGCTTTGGCTGTGAGAAAAAAATGAACTTAGTAAAACTAAAGAAGGCTTCAAAAGTGACAATAGAAGCGTGAGATTTCTAGCCTTGTATTCTCTCAGTGGTTCCCAAATGTTAGTCTGCATACAAATCTTCTGGGAGTTTGTTAAAGTGTGGTTCTTGACCCCTGTGGATTCTGGCCAGTCAGTCCTGTGGCCACTGAGGTGAGGCAATCCTGGCTGTACTCATGGTCATGCATGGGGCTTCTTACAGATTTCTGAGCCACCACTTGACCCCCAGAGATTGATTGATAGGGTGTCAGGTGAGGCTAAGGCATCCTATAAGGGAGATCATAAACCCTCCCTGGATCATTTAGAAGCTCAACTGGAGGGGAAAGGATCTATGCTGTACCAGGGACTAGTTCCTGGCTGTGCAAGCCAGCAGCATAGAAAAACCTCAGCCCTTGCGCCAAATGCAGCAGGCTTCTATGGCAAGGGCATCAGACATCCCAAACCAATGCAAACGTTCTTTCTGCACAGGAAGAAATCGAAAGTATGGAAAAGCAGATTCTGGGCTTGAACCAGAAGAAAGAAGACCTGTTGGCGGACTTGAAGGCTGCCATACTAAACCTTCACCAGCATTTACAGCAAAAACAGCAAGAATTAGAACAAGAAGTGCTGTCAGTAGCGGCATCCGAGGAGAATGCAGGGGCTGAGAAGGATGCTTCTGAGTGGAAGGTGGGTATGGCTGTAGTTAACACTGGTCCCACGTTCCACAAGAGTTTTAAATTGGTAGTATTTTTCATCTGGAAAACCTGTGGCCTCTATAGTTATGGCCTATAGAAAAGGAATTTCTTCAAGTAGAAATACTCTGCCTGAGATTATTCATGAGTGAATATTAATTCTCAGGGTGTGTCTCTGCTGGACTCAATCCAGAATTCTTATGCTCAAGTTACCTAAGAAGGTGTTTATGAAATCCCATGGGTAGGTGGGTGGCAGCCACCCTTTGAAATGTCTTCCTACCAAACTGTGAGCCCATTGCAAACTCAGAAACAGGCCCAGCACTTCTCAAAGCCCACTCTGAATCTAACATCAGTAATAGCATTCTTGAATTGTTTGATGAGAGGTCACAGAGGGCAATGCAAATGAAAGGGATCTAAGATTTGACCGAGTCATGATATTTGGCTGGATGAGTTGAAAGTTGCTAAACCCAGAGGCTACTTGTGTGGGTGGGCATCCTGGATAAAGTGAGTAAAAAAAATTAGCTACATAAGAAAGCAGCCAGGCCGGGATTCTGATGACGTTGAACGGCAATCCAGCTGCAAGTCTTTGTGCTGTGCCTTTCAGCTGAACAGAGCGGGTTCCATGTCTTTCCTGCCAGCACTCGAGGAAGAGGCAGAAGAGAGCTCCCTGAAAAGTGAAGTAAGGAAAATGATTTTCTCGTTCAAGTTTGTTAGAAGTGTAATCTCTAAAAGGTCAATGAGAAGGTCTTAGAATGAATGGAAACATAAGGATTTTTTAATTTCAATGCCAGTATTTTATAAGGGTGACTGAAGTAGTTATCTTATGTAATTAATGTTTAAGTGCATCTAAACCTACTCCAGGCCAGAGTGGGATAAAGGTAATTCAGACACCCTTGTTGGCAGAAGGGAGAAGATGAAGTTCTTTGTCATATCTTGAGTTCTAAGTACTTTTTCTGGAGTTTGCTGTTTGGCTGGCACTCCTGGTGGCTTTATGTTTCCATATTTGAATTACTTTTGTAGTCAGACAGCACTGCCAAGGACATGAAGAATGGTGTTAGCAACTAAGCCTACTATGTTACTACTCCTATCAGAACTGGTTGAACGAGACCTTTACAAGCTTTCTCATTATATCAATTTCCATTTCATACTTTAAGAGCCAAAGCAGTAATGGGTCTGAGCCAAAGGGAAGAAAATTGCAGCAAGTGACAGTTTTTAATGCCTCCTACATAACAAGCAGACATTCTTCCTGCTCGTTTTATAGATTGCTCATTAGCTCTACGATCACACAGAATAGCCTGTAGTCCTTCACTTTATCACTGTGGGGCGGAGTGGTCGGATGAGGAGGAGTGAGGCTTATATAATCTGACCGTCAGATAGCTTTGTGATCTGATTCTACCTCTTCATAGCTGAGAAAATTTTGAAAATGAAGAAGGTGCTGGAGCCAAAATAAGAGTGCATTTCAGTATGATTCTAATTTGAGACCTGTATTTGCCTCTGAGCTGATATGTTTATGATCATTGTTTGTCTTTAACATCAATCAAAAAAATACATGTTGTTAAAGAGCCTTTGAGATTACATTTACCAAAGCAGATGAAATTCCTAAAGTGCTGTTTTAAAGGTCCGCTTTGTAGGACATGAACTGACTCCCAACTTTAAGAATACTTTTTCGGCTTTAGGAAGAACAGCCACATTTGGACTCCTGTGATGTAGTTAGCCAAAGAAATCGTTGATAAATAGCGGGGGAAGAGGAGGAGGGGGTGGAATTAAGGTCTGCAATTATACTGCCTGGTAAGCTGAGTGTTACATAAAGGAGATAAGGAGGGTGATGCTATGATGGTAGGAAATCACCTCCCTCTGCTAATCAATTGATTGCTGTGTTAGAGTGGAGATAAGAAAGCAGAACCGTCTTCCGGATTCCCGTCTTTACTCTGGAAACATGACAAGGACGTGGAGGAGGACAGGGCATCCTCGTCCTCTGGAACAATCATTCAGGTAATCCTGTGCGGGTCACATTTCTTGGAGGTGGGGATAGGCAGGGATAGCAAGTCAAAGCAAAGAGTTTCTTGTTTGAAAGAATGTTTCAGGAGGGAATCTATATGGGTTGAAATTTTTTTAAACTTCTTACTGCTGCCTCTGCACAAAGCAAAGACTGCTGAGTATTAGTTACTTTTCTTTTGCGCACTCAGTGATAATATTGTTGCTGAGGCCCTAAGTCATGTCCGACTCTTGTGACCCTGCTGACTGTAGCCCACTAGGCTCCTCTTCATGGGATTTTCCAGGCACGAATACTGGAGTGGGTTGCCATTTCTTTCTCCAGGGAGTCTCCTGATCCAGGGATCAAACCCACATCTCCTGTATTGGTAGGTGGATTCTTTACCACTGAGCCACCAGGGAAGCCTGTAAGTATTTACCTGAGGAAAACTCCTTAAGTGAAAATCTAAACTGAAAAAAAACAAAACAGTTAAAGGAGCAGCTAAAAGGTTGACCAATGTAGTTAAAGCATTTAACATGCCTCTTTTTTGGGGAGCAGTTGGGGGTGAGAGTTCTCTTTTTGAAAAAGTAGTGTGGAAGATAAATTAATGAAATAAGTCTTTTTGCTCCTGCTTCTGCTTCATTGACTATGCTAAAGGCTTTGATTGTGTGGATCACAACAAACTGGAAAATTCTTAAAGAGATGCAAGTACCAGACCTTACCTCTTTCCTAAGAAATCTGTATTCAGGTCAAGTAGCAACAGTTAAAACTGGACATGGAACAATGGACTGGTTTAAAAAAACTGGGAAAAGAGTATGTCAAGGCTGTATATTGTCATCCTGCTTATTTAACTTATATGCAGAGTACATCATGTGAGATGCTTGAATCACAAGATGGAATCAAGATTGCTGGGAGAAATACCAACTACCTCATATATGCAGATGATACCACCCTAATGACAGAAAGTGAAGAGGAACTAAAGTGCCTCTTGTTGAGGATAAAAGAGGAGAGAGAAAAAGCTGGCTTGAAACTTAGGATGCGAAAAATTAAGATCTTGGCATTGATCCCATCAATTCACGGCAAATAGAAGAGGATGAAGTGGAAGCAGTGACAGATTTTATTTTTTTGGGTTCCAAAATCACTGCAGATGGTGACTGCAATCATGAAATTCAAATGCACTTGCTCTTTGGAAGGAAGCTTTGACAAACCTAGACAGCATATTTAAAAGCAGAGACATCACTTTGCTGACAAAATATTCTTATAGTCAAAGCTATAGTTTTTCCAGTTGTCATGTATAGATATGAGAGTTGGACTGTAAAGGCTGAGCAACAAAGAACTGATGCTTTCTAATCATGGGGCTAGAGAAGACTCTTGAAGAGAGTCCTTTGGACAGCAAGGAGATCAAATCAATCAGTGCTAAAGGAAATCAACCCTGAATATTTATTGGAAAGGCTGCAGCTAAAGCTGAATACTTTGGCCATGCAAAGAGCCGACTCATTGGAAAAGACCCTGATGCTGGGAAAGATTAAAGGCAAAAAGAGAAGGGAGCTGCAGAGGGTGAGATAGTTAGATAGCATCACCAACTCAATGGACATGAATTTGAGCAAACTGGGAAGTATTGGAGGACAGAGAAGTCTGGTGTGCTGCAGTCCATGGGGTCACTAAGAGTCAGACATGACTTAGCGAATGAATAACA